AAAGAATTTAACACGAAGGATGGCGCTTTTCCATCTGTTCAGCCCCACCCCCTGATTGCTCAAGCTGCAACTTGGTGCTGTTTTATTAATTACTGATTGACCATTTGATGTTTATACCTTTTAAATATTTTAATGCTTGTCAGACATCTTGTATGTTCTTTTTGAACAGAAAGGTGGGCTATAAATACATATATAGACCAAGGACTTGGGCAACTGATCTCCTGAAGCATATAAAAGGGTAGCAGGCAAAGCTCTGTTTGTGAATATTAGTATTTCACAGACTTTGCATTTTTATGCTAGTAAGACAAATGTTTCCACTTTCCCAAGCAGTAAAGGAGTCAATTTTTCATCCCTCACTTTCATATTCTGCTTGTCTTCTAACCCTTTCTTTTGTCAGCCTTGGCTTACCCTTGTTCTCACTTCTTATGATTTCAGATGTAATATTTAGATCGCAGCAAAAAAGTGGTAAAAAGTCCCTAATGTCCCAGGATGTCGTCACCTAATTATCTGTTGTGGCAGTTTGGTTTTCCATAGTAACAAGGAAAAAACAACAATAATCAGGTCTAGTAACACAAACAAGAACAATCAATTCACACGTTGCTGACGGAATGACTCGTATTTAGAGTCTAGAACAATCATGCATTTTCTCACAATATCCTCTTCTCTGTGCATGGTGAATTAATTTGTAGCCCCCTTTGATCAATATCTGCCATAATTTTATGATGAAAATCAGCCTGAACAGCCCCTGCTTTGAGTGAATTCCTCATTTCCCCATCAACTTACCTCATCTTACCCTTGTTGGCATTCTTCTACAAAATACTTACATTCTTCTTAATCATCTTGAACAGCTTAACACCATATACAAACACACAGACATGGCAGAGAAGCAACTCCAAAGGGGTATGAGATCACCAATGAGCATGAATTAAATCACATTTTTTCCGAAAAGGAATTTCCAATTCAGCCTCTAGGTTGTGAAATTAAAAGTTTTACCCTGTCACAGCTGGATAATGTTTGCAACAATATATATTTAACAAGGCAATTAATTAGGCAGAATGTGTGCAGAGAAGTTGGAATTATTTCTTCCGCCAAATTACTATTAACCTTCTCCAAATCCTCTTCTGTTTCATTAACCTTTTAAAGTTAAATTTGGGGGGGGGGGGTCACCTGACAATCCTGCAGCAATCTCAACATCACAGATCATTGTGCTCAAATCTTGGCACCTAAACAGTGGGAAAATGACCTCTTGGGTCACTTGTTTCTTATTTGCTTTTTAAATGAAATATTTGGAGCATACAGCTTTGTCATAGGTGTTTTCTGACTGCAAGTATTTGTAACTATGGTTAAACTGTACTGCTGAATTACAGGGGACACATTTCCTGACCCAACTTGAATCATGCTGCTGCTTATCATATAAATTCAATCACATGCTCTGGGAGCTTATCCCCACAATGCTACACAGAACAGTAACAAGTTTTAACAGAGATTTTTTAAAAAATAAAAAATACAACAAACAATTAGGAAAAACATCTACATGCAAAGGCCACATTAGAAAGGGAAAGGAAAGACACCCAAACCTCATGAATCACAGAGAAGCAAGATGCAAGAGTGACCATGGGAAACTTTTCTACTGGTAAAGAAAGCCGATTCTCACCGTTCTGAACAAAATGGCTGAACTAAGAGCAGCTGATTGGCTATGCCCAAATACCCTCCTCCTCATCCTATTGGTTGAGAGAAGACAAAGGGGAAAAGCCCCAGAGCAGCATGGGAATGAAATAAAGAGTTAGTTAGTATTTAAACCACACACAAGAATAGCATTCTAGTGGTAGGACAAAGAAGCTTCCAATTCTTTCATAGACTATTCTGAGGCTTTCAAGTAACTTGAAATCACTGTATTCATCCCTGAGTGCCTTGAACTGTCAATTTCTCATGAAAGCAGATGCAATCTACCACTATATCCAAACGTTTCTATGGCTGACTGTACCCTCAGTCACATAGAATCTCTATCTTTCATTGAGTCATATATCCCTTACATATTATGTAAAGACTTTTGCCCCTTTTCAGCATGCAAAACAAATACCATTCTATTCCCCAGGAGAACTGGAGAGCACTGCTTTAATCTACAACATCAGTGCTGCTGCTCCACCATGACAAATGTTATGGCTGACATCTCCAAATAACTGCTTGGAAGTTTCAATTTACTGATGGGCTCATTCTTAAGTTTAAAACTCAACATGATAGGAAGGGCTGGAGAGAGTAAATTTACAAGTGGTCATTATTTCACTTTTTACTGCGGCACTTGGTCTTTCCAGCACACCCACTGACCATGGCCCCCATCTTCTCCTCTCAATATCATCTTTGAAAGTAGCAGAAAGAATTATTTTTTATCAATGGAGAATTTCAAGCCGTTTCAGGGACTTCCCCTCCTCATCATAATCATTCTGTCGCACAGATTCATAATGTAAATATGTTAAGCTCCCTCCAAGTCCAAAATATGCTGTTGTTTCAGGCTGTTTCCTTTAATGAGCCAGGCAGTAACCAAAAAATATTTATTAATATTTTAACTAAACTGGCATCGTCAAAATCCTTCTAAGTAGCTGGCTCTTGCACTATCTTACAGGGTTTAACAAAGCCTTTTGATAGCTTTGAAGCATTTCTTGGTGTAGTAAGTGCAGACTCTAAACTGGAAATTATAAATTGATTCCCTTTTAAGTAAACCTGGATTGAGCTTGTGAGGGGACAGTGTGCTGTCCTTTAGCACACAGGCTGGGCTTTGCTCATGGGGAATGAAGACAATTTCTCCCTTACAACCAAGCAACAAGGCTGAAGATTTAATCAGAGAGTGTAGGTTTCCAGGAATACAAGTAGTGTGGCACACTCTTCACATGAATCACTGGAAGAAAGACAGGACATCTGACCTATTCCAGAACAATATTTCTGAAATAATAAAATCGAGCTATCTAACTATTTATACAAGATTAAAGATATCTATGTGATAAACACAGCAAGTTCGCTCTTCTAATTCCAGTTTACAAGAGTTGTTTGTTCCCAGATACTACAAACATCAGCATCAACAAAAAATAATAAGCAAAGATCAGTTTAAAATGAAAGATCTTACCTGATCTGGGGAGGGTTTATGATTAGTTTGGTTGGAATGAGATGACGATTTGAGGTGGTCATCATCATAGTTATCTGCCATCAATTTCATGCGATTTTGTGTCTATTAAAAAAGTAGAAAAGAAAATCAATTTAAATTTCCTGCTATAAATAGGTTGGCACCAAACAATATTTAATTCCAATTTAAATTGATTTGGGAAACAGATTTCATATGGACAAGTCACTGGGAACATCTGCTAATGGCAAAGCATTGATAAAAAATTGAATTATGAAGATGTAATGATATTGTACAAAACTATACTTATTGTAAGTGGGGGACTCACAGGGAGTTGCGGGGGATGTCTCATCCCCCCCCTCAACTATTTCCTTTCTCTGAAAGCCTCCATAGCCTCTCCCATTTTCCTGGTTCCTTCTCTTCTTCCCACCTAATAGCCACCCTCCTTTTATCTACCCTATTTTCAGATTTCCATCCTTCCCTTCCCCTGGTACCCTTTATGGATTAGCTGTACGGTGCTAGCCACAGGGCTGGGCCTAGTTGTGTGGTGGGGAACCCATAAGTACTTGAGGGGGTCACCTCAGATTCCCCTGAATCACATTCCCCACTCCTTTTCCTCATTCCCTCCTCCTGGCAACCTCATCTGCACCTTTTCCTTGCTTCCTTCTCTCCCCCTAAACACCTTTTGATCCCGCCCCTTCAGCTATATTATTTCATTTATATCCTGCCTTTCTGCATAATGGGAACCAAAAGCAGCTTACATCATAAGAACATAAGAGACGCCAATGTTGGATCAGGCCAAAGGCTGATCAAGGACCAAATCAAGGATCATCTCTCCCCTGGTAGGTTCCGTGACCATCTGCTCCATAGCACAGTCATTTAGAGTGTCTAGACACTCATTCTCCTCTCCTCCATTTTATCCACATAATAACCCCAAAGTAAGTTAAGCTGAGAATATGTAATTGGCCCAAGTTTACCCAGTGAGCATCCACGGTAGGGTGGCGATTTGAACCAGGCTCCCCCAGATCCTTGTCTGAAACTCTAACCATTACATTACACTGACTTGTGTGTGTGAGTGGGGGGGACGACTGCTGTTGAAAAGTAGCAAGTCACCAGGTATGGCCCTGGTGAGTCCTTGCTAAAAGGCAAAACAGCCCCAAGAATGTCCCTGCCCCATCTTTTATGGACAGAAACTAATGCATGAAGGCTAGCGGTTACCTAGCAATGGCCACTGATGGGATTTGTTTCTTAAAGCTATAAGCATGCTTCTATCATTTTGGAGTCTTTAAACCCCCCCCAAGTTTGTTTTAAGACTCCCCCCCCCCTGCAAAACTGGATCATTTTTCAGGTTGCAGAAAGATCTGTCGTCTCTTCATGGCTCCAATCTCCAGCTTTAAATATTTGGCCATGCTGAGAATTAGATATATTGATTGCTATAGTAATGAAAACTGGTTCGTGGAAGTGACTGGTACAGACATCTGGGTTTATTCATGTACCTAATACGTGATACAAACAAACAGAAGTGACCAATACTGAATTGGGACAATGGATACAACTCAAAGGTTTAAATTTCTCTTAAATCAGCTCCTCTGATCAAAACTGTTTAAAGTTTCTCCACACTATGCTTGATAACCTTGGACCTACACATATTCAAACTGACCTACCTCACAGGGTTGCTGTGAAGATACAATAGAGGAGAGAAGAATGATGTAAGCTGTTTTAGGTCTCCACTGGGAAGAAATATGTGTATAAATGAAGAAATAAGAATTGTATTTGCATTTAGGACTGAAGAGGTATACCTGCTATAAATGAAAAGGGAAAATACATTATATTCTTGAGGATATCTTCCCGAATCTGTATTCTGTAATTCTATCTGCTGTTTTACCTTATGTATACATCCTTAGATTCCCTAAATAAGTATTGTTGCGCCATTATTCTCCCTTCAATCATTCTCTCTCTCTCTCTCTCGCATACACACACACAAAACGTGTGGTCTAACCACTAAATCCTGTGGGAAAGAAATGAGTAACACAGTTATGTCCATGCTGCCTTGAATGCCTGAGGCTGAGAACTCCATGGCTGGCTGAAAAAATATGCACCAGTAAGTTCAAACTCTTGGTGCAAAACCAAACTACATTCTAGAAGGGCTTTTCACTACTTATGCACAACTGAAAATTATTGGAAGTGGCAAGAAATGCAAAGCACTATTTCTGTTATAATAATCAATTAAAATGAGCTATTTAGCAGTCCCCATTCGGACTGCATTCAACTCCCCCCCCCACTTTAAATCTCTGGTCAGCTCACTGGTTCTACAGCACAATAATGAAACCCATTTGTTTAATCAATGGTGCTTCTATCCTGTGTTGGAAATGCTGTTATAGTAACTATGTTAAAAGCAAAACAAAATATTGATATTGAATAGTCCTATATGGCACAGCTTTTTTGGGGGGGCAATTTATCTGTATATGTACCTGAGAGGAGGAGGCTATACCCTGATAAACCTCTGCCATCTACACTAAAATCTGTATATCTGACTAAAACGTTCCTAATAAATGTTTTCTTCACACACCATCAGCTGCCTTAGAAATGTCAACTCAGAAGCAATCATGAAGCTTATTTCAAATTTCTTTTGCAAGGTTAAAAACAGTGTTAAACTGCCACCATAATGAACTGGAAGGAAAACTCTGATGTGGGCTACATGAGCTAAGATACTACTAAAAATCAAAGATGACTATAGTAAGATACCACCAAAAATCAAAGTCCTCCATAGCTTATTTGACCGTATGAACATTTTCATTCAATACTGTGAACATTTTCATGAGACCATCTCTGATTCTCACTTGGATAATTTATAACCATGGTTACAAATTTACAGTAAACCAACAGATTTGTTGATTTTAACTTCTGCAAACTAAGGACACACTTTGAAAAAGGTTATGGCAGCTGCAGTATGCTAGCGTCATATGGAATCAAAAGGAAAATATTCTAACGTTTTCCTCTAACAGTGTTAAGCTTTTGCTTATTAAACTAAGCTTACACTTCCCTTCAGTGTCTCAAAAAAGGCACAGCGAGATTTTGGTAACAGGCAAATTTAATAAATGTAATCATTGCATAAATTGGATAAGAGGCAGCTAACTAAAACAAAGAAAGTCCTTTGACTGATCGTAGTCCTGGTTCTCCTATCAAAGCAGCCCACAGAGCCCAAACATGGCTAGATTCAGCTACAAAGGTCCTTTCAGATCATTCTCTCAACCAAAGATCTGGATCAAGATGGAATATTCAAACCAGCACTCCCTTTCTCACCATCATATTATAAAGATCTTTGGAAACAATGATCTCAGCGTATATTATCTCATTTTTTTGTGTAATCTGAACACTGCAGTTTCTGGCTTGGCTAATCATCCTGAACAAGCTGTATTAATGTTTTAATATACAATCTGGAGAGTCCCAATGTGAGGCATGTACTTGTGAAAAATGGTCATGGCAACTCAGCCATTTGGCAAACTAAATAACAATGTTCTCCAGGTTGCTCTCATTTCATTTTTTAGTCAGCGTCGAGTATTTCACTGAATACACAAACATGCTTAAAAAACCCTCCAAGACAAAGTGACTCTTTAACCCCAGAAGGAAAATACACAGGGGGCTCATTTTCAAATGTTCCAGTCACCACTAGCTACCACTGTTTCCAAAATCCTGGTCAGAACATTATTTCTTTGCACGTATACCCTGAGCAATCAATTTGGGTAGAAGGAAAACACACAAAAAATCATTGTTATGTAAACGGTCCCTTTATCAACTTGAGTAAACCCTATAAAGCTCAAGAGAGGGTCCAATAATCCTATATAGAACACACTGCTAATTCCTGTAAAGATGGAGATGAGACAGTTGCACTTTGGGTAATGTCCCCATATCGTTTCCCTGTCTGGATTCCTGTAAAATAGTGTGACTTAGGGCCAATTTACATGATCACTTGGGGGGCTTAAGTCCATTTAGGCTTACATTCCCCCTGCACAGGCTGAAAGTAGGTGTGGTTAATTCTGAAGTATCTAATTGAAATCAATTAACATTCTTGCAGTAACTTTTGCCTATGTCTAAAAATGCCTTGCTGTGTCCCACAACTTGGCCATCATCCTGTTCATCCGCTGTGTCCATCCACACACCTAAGAAAGTCATTACAATACAATCAAAAGTTAATGTTAAAAAGCATTTTTTAAAAAAAAGAATCAAGATCAGCAAAATAAACAGTACTTTACAAAGAATGGTGTAGATATCCTTCCCCCTATATGAAGATTACGACTTTCTAGAAAACCTGTTATGCATGGAGTGGCTATGGGGCCAGCTATCCATATCCAACTACAGTTGCTGTATAAGTGCTCAATGTAAAGGGTAATACCCATTTTTAAGGTGAGCATCTAAGAGAACTTGATATTAAAAAATAAAAGCATTCAAAAAAGGCAAGAATAACAAGATCAGTTTCAGGTGGTGGAAATTATAACTTCTTTGCTTATTATGAAGGCTCCCAGAGTCTTACATACTCCTCTTAAGTAGTTATGTGTCCTTTTGATCTTTAATTACAGCTCGTTGCATCACAGGCTCCCTAACAAGTGTGAAATAAAGATAAAGCACTGTGGTAAACATTCTCACCTCTTGTTTACAGGCCCTGGAAACAAAGGGAAAACACCTGACCTACCTTTGACCACAACTCTTAGATGTGGTAGTACAATGCCCAAGATCACATACTTCACATATCTAAAAGGGTTAGCAATGAACAATTCTTTTAAAACCCAATGCAGCTGGGAAGAAGTCCAAATGTGGTTACTTTGAAACTGGAAATATGCTATTTCACGCTCTTGCAAAATAAATGACTGGGATGGTGACATGGGAAATTAGTCTGGTTATCAGTGTGGAAGCGTAGCACTTCCGTGACGCAACCGAGGCTTCCCGCCGAAAACACGCAGCAAAAAACTAGTACCTCGGAGGTACTAGTTTCCGGAAACTGCGGGGCAAGGGCAGGTGTCTGATCGCGTTTCCGGAGGCATCTGGCGCCCGCCCATGTCCTCTTGCAAAAAAGTTTTTTTTCCCAAAGTCTCCGTGGATGCGCACAAGCA